GTCGAAGAACAACATATAGAACCAAATTGAGCAACAAGATGGGAAAATCTACAACTCTTGCATTAATATTCAAGTACTATAACATCAAACCATGACAATAGGCTAAGAAAACGATTACAAAAGAGTCAAGAAATTAACAAAATTCAACTGGAAAGATAATTTGATTTCAATACTAGTAAGATAAAAGGTAGGTTGTGACAATGCAATGCAAGTGAAGATGGATTCTTTAAACTAGAATCAGTTTCGTCCATATCAGCGGATAGTCCCATCCGGTATCTTGCTGTCTTCTGCTATGGGGCTCCTCGACTACTCCCCAGCACTACTGTTAGAAACGGACCCAAAGGCACCCCTTTGTAAAACCCCAGTAGGAGATGATGCAGATTGTGGGCTACTATTTCCACCCTCTTTCATAAGGTCGAGTGCTGTGGTGTTCTTGGAGTCCCCGGTGCTGGTATTTGTGCTATTCAAAACCTCCCCGAGGGGTCCACCCCTGGAAGAGTCCCATGAAATAGGGATCCAATTCATTTGCCTTTGGCTTTGTTCATTAACAAGGGTACCGACTCCCAGTCCCATTTGGGTAGCTTCTAGTTCCTGAGACATTCTCAATGAAGAGGCTGCAAGGTTTTCATTTGTTGGAGACGAGGTAGAAGCCATGAAGTCGGATGTGACCATCGGCATAGACACTGATAGTTGTGTCCTAACATCAGCCCATGAAAAAGCTGAGGGATCGGTCTGGTTTTTTGTCCACTCACCCATAAACTGGTGAAATGGATGCTGTGATTTGCTTTCCTTTTCATCCAGATTGTTACCCATACCATAGTTTCCGCAGTTCATAAGCAAAGAACTCTCATTCATGGGGTTGAACAAAGAATTAGAGCAGACTAATTGGAACTCTGATTGTGAAGATTCTTTATATGAATTATCCTGATCAGCAATAGAAGATTGATTTTCTTTCAGATTTGATGCTGAAGATAAAGTGGATAGACTCATTGTACGTTGATATCCCTTGTCCACATGTTCCTTGTCAAGAAAATTCCTGCTAGGGAAAAAATAAATAAATAAATAAAATTGTTTTATAAGACCAAAAGACAACGATTTCAAACGTACTGTTGGTATGCAAGTTTGATACATAGTAATGTCTAATACTATTATTCCTTAACAATGGAACGGATGGGAGAGCTTGTACCATGCCGTTTAATCTACCTGTTAATTTGAGGGGTTGCAGACAAAGAATTACTCGAACCAAGCTGGTAGTTATTGAGCTGATGGTCATGTGAGAGACCGCCTCCAGCGACCACTGATGCTGATGTTGATGAAGCCACCGGTGTCAACTTGCTAGTAATAGTGGTGGTGGCTCCAGAGACGGAATGGCCAGGTTGGCCTTCCACAGGCTTTCTTGAACGATGGCGGCCTCTGTTCATATGCCGCTCACAATATTTCTGGTCGACAACTGCATCTTTAGCGCACCGCCATTTCTTCCCATCAGTCCTCCGGCATCTTCCAGGCTCGGGATCAGTGTTGGAAAAACCCAAATGGAAGGCGTTGCCCCACCCCACTGTTGAGCATACATTCAAAGGAACTAAGTGATGGCAAAATGCTAAAGAATACACATGATCTTCACAAAATCATCGTAAAACATATCTCATCCTTTTTGAACTTGGAAGTCAGCAATTGAAACAAGTAATTAATTATTTTGAACTAACTTCTGCCTCACTGTTGAAACAATATAACTTTCTTTAACTGGTGTACTTACAAACAACTTTAAGCTAATTTTAAGCTTAGCCAAATCAGAAGTCGTCACTACAGAAAGTACATATATCAACATAAAACTACAAAAGAGAAAACTCACAAGTATTGTGTCTTAGGCCAGAAAAGGTTGAGCAAGCAGCAGATTGAAGGGCTTTTCTAATAGGATAGAGAAGATTGGAAGGAATGGGCACATTTGCAGTAATGTATTTGTAGATCAAGGCCTGATGTTCTAACTCCATCCATTGTGATGGAGTTATTGGCCCTCTCATCCCATGCATACCACCACCATTCAAGCCTGAAAATGAACAAACAGCCAAATACTTAATCATCCAAATGCTCCGTGACTTAAGTTACTTATTTTGACAATTAAGTACAGATGTTCTTAACTTTGAGCAACCAAAATGTTTTTAAAGAATTTACTTGCCTTCTTTAAAGTAAACTTGCTTATAAGTCAGTTAAAATAAAATATAAAAACCAGGCTTAGTCGAACATGGCCCGAGAGAAACAAGAATCAGAGCCTTAGGTTTAAAAAGACTGAGCCATTTCTTCCTCATCTATCCTCCCATTCCAATAATTTCTGTACTTCATTCTCTTTCAAATGAACTTCACATTTTACATTTTTCTACATCTCATCATTTTGATTCAAGATTTGCACAGCCCATTTTCTCAAAAGCACACAAATATCAAAAAAAAAAAAAAAAAAAAAATATTAATAATAATAANAAAAAAAAAAAAAAAAAAAAAAAAAAAATTAATAATAATAATAACATTTTTCTTCTCTTGTTCTACGGATAAGACTAGTTAGAAGCAAGACAGACACAAATGAAGACCATGTTATCGGAGCAGCAAATGAGAACATATTTGCAAAATGTGTAACAACACAAGTCGGAGAAAAAAGAAAATAATAAATTGGAAATTTTTAATGCTAACCTGGGTTTCTGCTAAAGGCACAAGATGTTTGCTGATAGTAAGGTAATGTTTGGGAGTTGGGTGAAGAGAAGCTGAGCATTTGCTGGCCTTCAGAGAAATTACTGCTGTTAGATCTCAAAAATGGAATTTTCTGATTTATCAGCATTTCTTTTGAGGCAACAGCTGAAAAATTGTCATTATTACAAGTTTTGGCCACCTTAAAATCCATATAATCATCTGGATTTACAGTGTCAGCAAACCTTCGCTGCTTGAGAAATCCAGATCCATGCCATTTGTTCTTGGACTCAGTAGCATTTTCTGAAGAAAAATCATTACTAGTTTTAGTACTTGAGTCTGAACACACAAAACCATCAAAGCCCACCAACCCTAAATCCATAAAGAAAAAGACAGTCAAGCCTTTGGAGAGAATAGGCAGTAAAAATGGAGCATTCGGTCATTTACATAAAAGAGACCAACAGTGTGTGTGTGTGTGTGTGTGTGTGTAATGCTATGTTTGGTTGAGCATAGCTGAAAGCAGAAACTGCATTTGTTTTTGTTTGGTGAATTTGATGTTTGTCTAAGGAAAGAAAATAATTGGATAAACCCACAAATAGACACAGAGAGCGTGGGTGGGGGCAAGTTACTAGGGGAGGTAAATAAAGGATACTGTCTCGCATAGTACCGTACGTATACTCTTATACAAATTAAATTACTTGTACGAATAAAGTGTACACTTTGATTGACACATTCGTATGTCAAAAGTTTGATAATTGATAGAAATATGTATTGTTGTGTTTCATTAAGAACCATAGTTCTGTATTTATAAGGAAGAATAAGAAATACAACAGCAATAATTTTATAGGGTTGTAAGAGTACAATTGTCATTCACTAATAAACTAACCATTTACAATACATATATTGAATGACACATTACAAAATATATGTCTCATTAAAAACTTGTTTGATAAAAATTCAAAGGAACAAAAAAAATCAAATGGAGGAAAAAGGGTATAGTTATTTTGGAATATTAAAAATAAATGTTACCTCATTAAAATTTTACTAGGAAAACTCAATGGGATAAAACCTAAGCAAATGAAAGAGAATATAACTACTCCCCTGATATTGATAACTAAAAATCTTTAAGTCGAAGTATTCGAATCTCATGAACCAATTTTTTGAATATAGATGTCGGCAATGATTTTGTGAATAAATCGATCACGTTGTCACTTAAGCGAATTTATCGAAATTGACGTCGACATTCTTTCAAAACTCATGTGTATGAAATAATTTTGAAAAAATATGCTTCGTCCTATCACCTTTGATATAGCCTCCTTTGAATTGCACAATACAAAGTATATTTTCTTCATACAAGATTGCTGGACTATTTTTTGTTGAAGTTAACACGTATAATGTTTAGATATGATGGGTTATATTTCTCAACCATATACATTCTCGGCTTGCTTCATGAATTGCAATAATTTCAGAATGATTTGAGGATGTTGCTATTAAGGATCGTTTCATAAATCTCCATGATATAGTTGTTCATCCACGTGTAAACACACATTTCTATTTGTGATTTGGAAAATGTTATGTGTACA